CGGTAATAAATGTTATTGTTTTCTGAAAGATCCATCGAAAATTGTTTAACTTAAAAGATTGATGTTTACCATAGAAAATCCTATATCTTCTATAAAAACCGACTAGATGTCTATGTTGTTCTAAGTTTGAAAAACACCAGTATACTCCAAATACTTACTACAATGATGTCTAGTTTTGTTGTTATATTAAACTGAATAAATACTTGATTGTTTTGGATACTTGATATGATGGTACTACCCTCCTATAATTACCTAATACATACGAGTTGTATATAACCAAGATCGAACAAACAGTTGAATGGGTGAATCTACCCTAAGCCCACAACCAAATAAGGAACAAGAAGTAAGGCGGAAGGCACACATTTCACTGTCTATCAGACTTCAGTTTTATCTAACCCAAAAGTATACATTGGGTAATCATATAGTTAGTATCCTTTAAGATTGTTCATGAAAAGTATGTTACTACGTAAATATATCGTTGTTATCTATTGTGAGTTTTACGACCATACTAATTGGACCGGTTAACCACGACGTATTGTAGATGTCGAAATGAATATGACATTTGTCACCCGCAGACCTGCTTGTCCGGCTATAGCTAACAGTGAGGTGTGGGATTGTCAATCCCGTATAGATCTATTAAAAAACTCACGCTCTCCCTCCAGGAGACTCTGGTCGCAAGGGTAGACTTCTATTGTATTTATGTAAGTACCGAAGACGTGTCTCACAAGCTAGATTAACGACTTTACAAGTAATAATGTGGAAAACCCTTTTTATAATTAACACATAAGTTTATAAAAAGATCCTTTTATTCCTTGGGCTAAACTTATTAAAGTTTATAAGCTCATTTCTATGTTTTATTCAAAGTTTCATGTTCTAAATATAGTTTTTTTATACAAAGACATAATAAGCAATTTATATTTTATAACACAACATTTCTTGTGTTATACTTGTATCCCCCCCCCCCCCCCCTAAAACATTTAAAAAGTTGGAAAAATACATGGGGGTATGAACTCACCTTATGTGGTGATTTAGTTGAAGATTAGATATAGGATGATAAGTTCCACGAACGATGTCCCGAGATACAAATGAGTCCTAATTAGCATATTATTACACATATATGTATATAGTTAGTGAATTAACTACAAAGGTGCTTAGGAAACAACCAAAGATGCAAGAATAAATCACCAAAAGAGTGTTAGAAACAAGTTAATAGGCTGAAAAGGTGTTCACGGCCCTAAGGAGGGTTCACGACCCAAGAACACATGAGTGTTCATGGCCCATGTTGAAGGGTTCACGACCCAAGAACATGAAGAACACTTGAAGATTTTGTGGATTGGTAAGTGTTTGAAGGCCCTTTGTGGTATACTAAAGATATATAAAAGAAAAGGGGTGTTTAAAGGAAGAAGAGGGTGTTCTTGAGGATGATACTTGAGAGAGAATGGGTTGAATCACAACCAGAAGAAGAATAATGATAGAAAAATGAAGTGAACTCATATATATAGGGAAGTGATTGCGGCAGAGGAGTTCATGGGCGTGAACCGAGGGTTCATGGTTTGAGGCTTGATCACGGCTCGGTGTTCACGGTTCGAAGTTCTTGGCCCCTTTTACGGCTGCGAAGGTTTATGGTCAATGCGAAGGTTCTCGATTCTTTAAGGCTTTTCCTTCCAAACTAAAAACACACAAGATACAAGGCTTTAACACTTAAAATAACTAATCTAAATTAAGATAATGGAAAGAATAAGTTTGACCAAAGTTGACTTTATAAAATTTTCGGGTTGTCACACACGCGTTGCACTCTCATCTTTTCATTTCTTTTAAAGCCTTTTATGTTATTTTTGAAAACAATTTTACCATTTCCTTAGTTTGAGTCTTGACACACCTGAGGGTGTACCCGAATCCCTCAAACCAAGGCTATGATACCAACTTGTAACGATCCAAATTTTAAAAGAAAATTTTCATTTTTAGTTAATCAAACAAATTTGCATAAACCATGAAATACCAATATAATTGTTCCAAATCCACATTCATTACAACTTTATTTAAAAACATCGGAGCGTCCCATAACATATCAGTGAGAGAAAGAGTGTACGCCGCGCCATCACACCTTTCCCTTACCCTTGGACTTAGATGTACCAGAAACAAATCTGTAAATGGTAAGCTGAAAACTTAGTGAGTTCCTCAGATCATACCCACACACAAACCACATACAACATATCATACCAGCTAAAACAATTATACATAAGCCATGCATACAACATATAAGGAAACCATGGAAACCTTCCAAGGTCTTACTCCAAACACCACAGGAAACCCCCACCTGCTCTGGACTAGGCGCCAGTATAACCCCCACGTGGTCTTGGCTAATTTCCTCGGTAACCCCCACACGGTCTACACAAGTCATGCAATATCACACGAGCTAACAAATCTATATTCTAAGAATCCTCGGAAACCCTCCAAGGACTTATACTATATGCCATGAAAACCTCCACATGGTCTTAATTATGCTACCTCAGGAACCTCCGAGGGTCTTTCATACAAATGTCCTAACGACATATCACATAACCAACTAACAATCCATACAACAATAAATAGGCCGGCCTTCGTGCCTTAGACCCATTGGTATGGTGAGAAGACTCACCTCTGCCTGCTGAATGCGAAAGCTGCTCTCCTAACATCCCGTAACCTCCCGTGCTGAATAATAATATTAATCAATGTTAGAACTTTACTTAATCAAAGTGAACCCAACCCCTAGTCCTTCCAAAAAGGCCCAATTATCCTTTCTTTGCTAATTGGCCCAAAGTCCACGTCCAAAATCATTAATGGGCATCTTGGCCCAATAAGACCCTACCATAACACCAATGGCCCAATACTAAATAAAATGACCCACTATTCTCATAATGCAACCAAGTCCAATAACCAAATGAGGTCCACCAGCTCAAAGGCCCAAAACATATCCAAGCCTATCTGTGATGCGTACGCTTAGCGTACCACCCTGGTACGCGCAACATACTAGAGTTCGGGGACTTACGCGCAGCGTACACTGGGTTACACCCTGCGAACAAACAAATTAAGCACTTTTTCCATTAAGTGCTTAATACTCGATTCTTTTACGTCCAAAATTCAGATCTAAGCTTATTAACACGGCCTAGGGCATAAAGTTGGCAACTTTATGCCTTTGCATGCTTCATATGTTCCCAACACCCCCATTAAGACCTTTCTAAGGTTCTTAACCCATGCATGAGGTCAAAACATTCACCAAGACTCCATTTTTATGTTGACAAAAGACCAAGGGACCCCAGATCTATCATTTCCATCCTCTGGGGTTGCTTAACTCACAAGAGGAGGTCCAAAATCAACCAAAGGAACAAAACTAGAAAACCTTAGCTAAATCAAATGAATAAGATGGCAAGGTCCAGGCTTTATACCTCCAGAAGCTTCTCAAGGTCGACTATATGCATATTCTTGAAGCCAAATGACACTTCAAGCTTCCTTGACAACTTCTCCTCCTTGAATGAACACTAAAAAGGACCACAAAGCACTCTTAAAGCTCAAAATGCACTCACAAATGGTATTAGGGTTTCCATAGACGTTTGAAGGTGAAGGAGGCTGTTTAGGGTAAGGCTCAAATGAGTTAAGGATGTATATATAGGTCTTAAGTTCGGATATTAGGGTTTTGGCCCTCTGTTGCGTACGCCCGACATACCACGCCCGACATACCATTATGCACGCCCCGCGTACGCAAGGCTCCTTCGCGATCCTTCTCCCATAGTACGCTAAGCGTACCCTTAGGTACACCCAACATACGAGAGGGACTATTTTTGCCAATTAATTCATTTTCAAGGGTTTCAAAGGTGTACTCGATTTGGAGTGTTACAAAATTGGAGGCTAAAGAGGAGAGATGAGGAGAATGATAATTTTCGGTTTTCACTCTTAGAAAATGGATGGCCAAAAATCATAACCCTTAGAGGGTTTATATAGGTGACTAAGGGATGCTATGATAAGGCAGTTTCCTTAGATAAACCTTTATCCCTTTACTTCCTCCCTAAGGCATCCAATGCTCCTTAATGCCCAAGGAAAACCCTAGAACCCCTTCTAGAATTATTTATTTTGATTTCTAATTAATTTATTAATCATATAGTAAATTAATAAACCAATCTCTCTCTCTCTCTCTCTCTCCAAAAATTATTCCAGTCCATTACTAGGTTTGATGGCAACCAAAAAAAAAAACTTTGCTAATAATTCATGATTATACTAATTTAGTTATTGACTTAGACACCTAATCCAACACTAGTTCCTTTACATAGAGATCAAGGTCCGAGATTAGGGTTTAGACTAATTGCGGCCACGCGTCGCGGCACTCACTTAGTCGGATCGTGACTAATGACTTGGCACGCGCCACGTTCTTCCGATAAAAGCTTCACGAACTAGGGTTTTACTAAAACCCATCTTACTCATTTTCCTTAGAATTACCAATTGAACATAAAAAATAGGTGTTACCATGGTATGACCTTATAATGTGATATATGATCCTATGTGTTATAACTCTAAATGTTTAACTATTATTTGAGAATTAACACGTAAAAATCCTGATAGTTGTAAATATAAGAGGTATTTGTGTCCCGAAAATGGATGAAAATTTTAGTGATAACCATATTGAAGTGAAATCGGCACCAACAATATGTAACTGTTTCTGATTCAACATTGGAAATAGTGATGGAAAACCTATCATGATGAGAGTAAATCCAACATATATTATAAATAAAGAAAGTGTAGGAAATTTCAAAATCTCTTGCAATAATATGGAAAACGAATTGCCTTTGAAAACCTATCCCCAAGAAGAAGCTTTATGGAAATAAGTTATAGCTACAAAGACTTCAAAGAATGTCAACCTCCAATCTATGTTAGAACTATTAATGTGTTGATGATTTTATTGTATATACATACACACAAACATATATGAACACCCATGACAAATTTTTCACCTACTTAAATCATTCACTCACATCATACTTCAATGTTTTGAAGTGTTTTTTAGTTATGAAACAAACATAAAATGTTGTAGCAACTATAAACCATCAAAAAAACATTCAACTTATTGAAAGTAAAACACAATAAAGTAATCATTTTTATATCATATACCAAAACTCAATTGAATTAGCTACAAAAATCCAATCATCCACTCACATCTTACTTGTTCCTAACAAATGATGAGGCAAAAAGATTTTCAAACATGGAGCACATGAAGATATTTGAATGGAATCACCATGTTGAACATTATGAACAATATGAGCACCATCAATGTAGATTAACCCTTCATTTGTTTGCCAATCAATATCCATTGATTCTTTAGGCTTCACTAATCCATGCATTAATCTCAAATGCTCTTGTGTCACTGAAATCGGTTCTCTTACCATGTATTGAAGATCTTTAGATGAAACAGACATTGAGTGTCCACCAGCTGATAGCATTGCAGCCGTTGATCCAGCAGCAGTTGACACTCTCAGACCACTAGATCGACAGTTGACCAGCGGTTGACTTGATCCCTGTTTTCTAATTCTTTAAAAAAAAAGTCAAGAATAAGTGGAAGAACATAACATTAACATTAACTTAACTGTATTTGAATTTGAATTTGATAGTTATATACCTGAATGAGAACCTAGAAACAGCTGCAGGATTTGGATCTGATATCAAAACATCATTAAGAGCATATAGTGGAAGTAGCTCTGAGTTCACTTTAATAGCCATTCTTGATAGCTCAGTAGGAGTCATTCCATTCTCCAAAATGTTATTTAGCATCTACAAGATCAAAAAATATTTCAGAAACAATCATTTTTTTTGTGTGTGTGTTTACTTAATTGTAATCTACCTGTTCAAAGTTTTTGATAGTTGCTGCACAAAGAAAACCAGTGCTTCTTGTTGCATCAAATTCATCACCGAGTTCTTCCACCTAATAGTTTCTCAAACCAATAAGCAAAATAAGCATTCAAGAAATTAAATTGCTGTTATAGTATTTACATTTTACACACAAACCTCTTGTGGTTGAGTGGGGTCAGAGTTTAATCCAAGTAATGGAATTGAATCATTCAAGAAATGACTTGCACTTAGAAGGGTTCCATCACCACCAATGGTAACAACAAGATCAAAATTATGAATTGGTTGAGAGAGATGACTACGAAAAACAGCATCCCATTCAATGGATTTTCTTCTTAAGATATCTTGACAGAAATCTATGGCAGCTTTATGAACTCTGCATCTGCTATCGATAAATTGTAACACCTGCAAAGTTTGAAAGAAATGTTTCAAGAAAGTCGCAAAAGCATAATAAGGGATGTGGAAGATCAAAGAACGTGAATGTAAACGTTGTTTGAGTTTTGACATTGGTAATGGAAGATTTATGAGTCGTAAATGACCTACGGAATGAAGGTGGGTGATGAAAGCAATCAAAGAAACATAACTACGATGGTCGGTGTTCACTGGGGTATTTTATCAAACACTTGATCTGCATTAGACCCTGATGGTTTATCCCGAAAAAAAGTACAACGAAGGCCAATGAACCAAGACATTGTTGAGTTAAGATCATCGAAATCAAGAAAAAGAATAGGGGAAATTAACCTTAGGGTTTGTATTGCGACGAGGGACGCCGGTTGATTGATGTAACGAGTACACATCCAAGGGCTTTAACAGCAGCAACAGTCGCCTTCTTCCCATATTCCTAATCGGGTCTGTATTGGCGGGAAGGAAGAATAGTATTGTAGACCTCAGCCAACTGTTAATTCGTTTTAACTGCCCTTCAATTCTGGCAAATCGTTACAGAAAATAGCAACAGTCGTCTTCTTCCCATATTGCTAATCGGGTCTGTATTGGCGGGAAGGAATAACCAACCGAAAGGAAAGATTGTAGGCCTCAGCCAACTGTTCATTCGTTTTAACTGCCCTTCAATTCTGGCAAATCTTTACAGAAAATGATGGTTAGAGATAGAACATGGTTTGGAATAGATATTAGATAACTACACCGATCTAACATTTATATTGACATGTTTCGAAATAAATTATAAATTGAAAAATACATTCTAACACGTCGAAATAAATCATAAATTGGAAAATACATTCAACACGTTACTATATACTACATGTTTTTTCTCCTAACTATTTTTCTTTTAATCATTTTTTTAAAGCTAATAGATCGATTTGAAATCGAATTTGGGTACAACCTATATATATATATATATATATATATATATATATATATATATATATATATATATATATATATATATATATATATATATATATATATATATATATATATATATATATATATAAACCAAAAATTACATCATTTAAAAAATGACAAAAACACAATCTCAATTCAAAAATATAAATAAATTGTTCAAATAACATGTAAAATGTTTAACTTCGATCTGTAACACTCTAAATTTTCAATCAAAATTTTCATTTTTAAAACACATAAAACTCAATGTCACTTTTCTCAAAAACCACAAATGTATCAATTGTCAAAACACAAATCAACAAAACAACTAATAGTATCCCATAATCCTCAAACATAAACTCGAACATGTGTGTACAATGAAACCGACGCCTTCCCGTGATCCTGAGAAGTATCTGAAACACATATCACACAACATGATAAACACAAAGCATAGTGAGTTCACCAAAATACCATATACATAAATAATAAGCCTCCCATAGCTATAGCTCGACATGGACCCTCCGGTCATGCGTCTCGGTGAGGACCCTCCGGTCTCACGGCTCGGTGTGGACCCTCTGGTCATGTGTCTCAGTGAGGACCCTACGGTCTCACAGCTCGGGTTGGACCCTCCAGTCATGTATCCCAGTGAAGACCCTCCGGTATCACAACTCGGTTTGGACCCTCCGGTCCTAACTCAGTAAGGCACAAAATAATATAGCATATATCACAAAGACAAAATGCATAATACCACATAACTCTGTATAAGCACATAGGACCCTCCGGTCAATAACTCAAATAAGACCCTTCGGCCACATAGTATTACCACTCAGGTAAGTATAGTGAGAAGACTCACCTCGTAAGTAAGCAAGTAGATCTAGTACCCCACGAACCATCTAGACTCTGCCTACATAATATAATTATCTCTAACAAGCACTTTGTAATAACCACTTCGAGATGCTAAGCTAACTCCTCCACTAAATCTAAAAAAGGGTGAAAAGACCATTTTACCCATCCATGGTCTCCAAGTCCACAGTTGACGAAACCCTAAAAGTCAACGTAAGTCAACGCTCAAATCAACAGTCCATGTTGACTAAACTCGTCGAGTGCATCTATGCGACTCGTCGAGTTCCTTCGTTTTCTCTCAAGTGTCAGGAAAATCCAACTCAACTCGTCAAGTTGTCTCATCAACACGTCAAGTTGTAGTGCATCCAGTCTATCGGGGAAAACCCTAGTTGACTCGTCGATTTGGCTCATGTACTCGTCGAGTCCTTCTAGACCAATTCTCGTTTAGATGATTCTAAGCAGAAATAGTTTCCTAAACTCTAGATCTATTCTCCCAAGGCTAAAATACCACGTAAAGTTGCAAGCTTTACGTACATGCATGACATCTAGGGCTCGAAACGCCATAATAAGCTCTATATGGGGTTTAATGCATAAAAGCTTGTCGCTAGCTTGATAAATCTTGGATCTTTGGGTTCAAAGGACCTCATATTGTCCAGATCTAAAGTCTCAACTCCATGGAAAGCTCAAACAACTCTAGAACTCAAAGAAAGATGGAAAAAGCCCTTAAACTCCCTAGAAAAGAGATCTAAGCTAACAATGAGCAAGGTGGTAGCTTTTTACCTTTACACAAAAGCTAGGAATGAATGAACACATGATCCAAGAGCTCCCTCACGTCCAAACCTTTTGCGCCTCAATCTTCCTCCAAAAATACACTAAAACTGCAATATTAGCCTCTCTTTCTCTCACACAAGGATATAGCTTGATTAAGGTTTCTCTCAGAGTGTTAAGATGATAAGGGAGGCGGAAATGAAGGCTTAAGGTCCTTTAAATAGGACAAAAACACTGAAAATTAGGGTTTTCTCACTTAACACCTACTCATCGAGTTGGGGTCCTCCAACTCGTCGAGTAGACTCTAAAAATCACGCGGCCATTAACTCCTCTACTCGGCGACTTGGGGCATCCAACTCGTCGAGTTGCTCTGACATTATGAATGTAAATTAATTAAATATTATACCTGGGAGTCAGGATGTTACAATTCTCCCCCATTAGAATCAGACTTCTCCCTCGAAGTCATCATCTAGAAACAACTATGGGAACTGTTCCTGCATCTCAGACTCCGGCTCCCAAGTCCACTCGGATCCCTTCTGATGTTGCCATTAGACCTGAACCAAGGGCACCTCTTTATTCCTCAAGACCTTGACCTTCCTAACCAATATTGCTATCGACTTCTCAATGTAATTCAGGTGTTCTTCAACCTGAATTTCCTCCAAAGGGACCATTTCCTTCTCATCGACTACACACTTCCTCAGCTCGGACACATGGAAGGTGTTATGAATCTGGCTCAACTTTGTGGGAAACTCCAACCGATAAGCTACCTTACCCACTCGATCGATCACCCTGAAAGGACCAATGTATCTACGGCCCAGTTTTCCCCGCTTCCTGAATCAGATCACCCCTTTCCATGGGGATACCTTCATGAGGACAAAATCTCCAACCTGAAACTCTAACTCTGAATGTCGCCAGTCTGCTTAACTCTTCTGGCAATTTTGGGCCATCAATAACCTCTGTCTGACCTGCTGGATCTTCTCTGTCATCTTGAGGACTATCTTAGTACCCTCCATCACTCTCTGCCCTACCTCTCCCCAACAGATGGGAGTCCGACACCTCCTCCCATATAAGAGCTCAAAGGGAGGCATACCGATACTAGAATGATGGATGTTGTTGTATGAAAACTCAGCCAAGGGCAAGTACGCGTCCCAACATCCAATGAAGTACATAACACATGCATGTAGCATGTCCTCGAGTGTCTAAATCGTCCGCTCGCTCTGCCCATCTGTCTGTGGGTGATACACAGTATAGAAGTGCAACCGGGTACCCAAATCCTCATGAAATTTCTTCCATAACCTAGAAGTAAAATGCACATCTCGATCTAACACTATCGATGTCGGCACCCCATGTCGTGCCACCACCTCTTGAATGTAGATCTCGGCCAATTTCTCCGTAGAAGAGCTTTCACTGATAGCCAAAAAGTGAGCACTCTTCGTGAGCCGATCTACAATCACCCATATCGCATTGACACCCTGTGTGGTCCTCGGTAATTTGGTGATAAAATTCATGTAAATCTATTCCCACTTCTACTGGGGAATCTCTAAAGGCTGCAACGATTCATGTGGACATTGGTGCTCCGCCTTGACCTGACGACAGGTCAAGCATCTCTCGACTACCCATGCCACATCTCACTTCATGTAAGGCCACCAATAATCCTTTTTTAAGTCCAAATACATCTTGGTGACTCCCAGATGGACCGAGAATCTCGACCTATGGCTCTCATATCCGCTCACGGTGTGACAACCAGAAAATTTCTATCTTGTACAAACCATTCACTTCAATCAAAGTCAGACTTGTTTCTGCTAACTTTTAGCACTGTTTAGAGTCTGTTTGAGCATTCTAATCTTAGTACATCAAAGGAATGAGTGAAAGGAAGTGTCAATTTAGGTTTTAACCTAACAATCATGCTTTAAACTTCATCATGTGGAGTTTACGGCCACACCATGTGAGTTTACGGCTATAAACACATGGTAGCCGTAAACCCATGCTATATAAATGATTTTCCATCACTTCTTCCTCATTCTTCACCTTTCAAGCCTAGAAATCGGATTTCTCTCCCAAGGATCATACTACTTTTTCTTCCAATCTTCAAAAATGTAAGTAGTCTTTCCATTTTCAACTTAATATCCTTCCATATCTAGTGAATATACATGATTTCATCCATGAAATCTCTTCTTTTGGATAGATCATCAAGTGTTCTTCATTTTGCCAAGAACACCAAGAAGACACTTAAGTGTTTTGGGACCATAATCACCCTTACAAGCTTCTAATACATAAGTGCACTACCCTTAGCTTGTTATATACTTGAATCACTTTTTAAGAACCTTGAAAACATCAAGAAATCAAGAACAAAAGGGTGTTTACGGCCAAGGAAATCTCCCTTGGCCGTAAACCCTAATTAGTGGTGCAATGCTGCCATAACTCCTTCCTAAGCCTTGGAACTAAGTCTAGAACACTTTAAGGAAGACTATAGGACCTTAACACACAAAATGGTACAAGATACCATGAGTTTACGGTCATAAACTCACTGGACCGTAAACCCATGGGTCATAAACTCATAGGGGTCTTACCATTTGGGCCATAAACTCCTATGTGAGGCCCTACACCCCTTATATGCAACCCTATGTGGTGTAACACTTCATTACAAGCGTTTCCTAGCCCCTAAGGTTGTTCCATTTCATGATTAGTTGTTGTAAACACTAATTAGATACATATATGTGTCACTATATGCTATTTAGGATCCATTGTGCTCAAGTCTTCACTTGGCACTTAGCATCCTGCAAACCGATCTTTCATTAGTGCCACTCACTATAGGTGAGTTCATACCCCTTAATCAACCTGTTAAATGGTTTTTAAATGCTTTTATGGGGGGGGGATACAAGTTGAAACATTATAGTTGTTATATCAATCACATGTGATTAATAACTATCAAACAAATGGATTTACTATGCTTTTAATTGTTTTATCAAAAAACTACTTCAAATTAGTTATCAAACTCTTTTACATGTTAAACACTTTATCAAACTTGTTCTTATGCCAAACATTTTCTTTTAACCCATTCAAACTTATATATTGTCAAAACCATGTCTAATGCTTATATAGTTATATAAGTAAGGGTTGAAGGATGTAGGACTGATAACTCACTTTATTTCATGTTCCTTGTTTGGTTGTGGACTTAGAGTACCCTGTTGTTGGTCCGAGTGTTGTTTGACCCTTAGTTATATATTATGTATATATGTATAGATATAAAGGCT